GGGGGCCGCTGCCGGGCTGGAGGCCGTTCGGCTCGTCGCAGGCGTCCGGCAAGCTGCCCGGTAGCGACCTGAGAGAGATCGATGCTGGCAGCAGCGCCGAAGCTGTTGGTGAGGAGGAGGAGGAGGAGGAGGATGAAGGCGTGGAGTTCGGGACGCTGTCTAATAAATTTTCTTCTAGAAAATATTACCGCAAAACCACATCACACTTTCAGAATTTAAAGCTTCAAGAGGGAGAGGAAGAACCGGAAAGAAGACCTCGACGCGGTCCTAAGAACAGCCCGTACTGGTACTTCTTAAAATGCAAGGCCCTCATCAAAAAGGACAAGGTTTGTTCCCAGCTCCTCGCTTCTTTGGTTTTTAAACGGCATCGGTAGATGCAACTCTGCCCCATCGGTATCGTCCATTGCTTAGTATCTTTACAGAAAGAAGTAAAGTAAGAATTTGTGAGGAATCCCGCGCTCTGTAGGACTTCTACCGCAACCTGCCCGCAGCTGCCTGTATTAATATCCATTGTAATCGATTCTGTCGGTGCCTCATCGTGGATTTTCCTCTTCCCCATAGCTGGCGGAGGCCCTGGAGCTGTTTGAGGTGCAGATGCTGAAGGAACAGCGTGTGCAGCCGGAAGAAAGCAATTACACCGTTCTAATTGGCGGCTGCGGCAGGGTTGGCTACGTGAAAAAGGCGTTCAGGCTCTACAATGATGTAGGTTTACATTCTCTCTCAAACCTTCATCAGGTTTTCTAAGCTAAAACTGTTTCACGTATTTGGTCGCGTTACTTTGTCTCCAAAATGCCTTTGAGTTAGTGTTTGCACCTTCTTAGCCTGAAACTCTTAAAAACAAGCTATGAAATTCCAGAAGTCCTTTCCTAAAAAGCCAGTTCTGATTCTTCTTCTCTTCCCTCAGATGAAAAAACGAGGCTTAACTCCCACCGAGGCCACTTACACAGCCCTGTTCAATGCCTGTGCCGAATCGCCGTGGAAAGACTCGGGCCTGCAGAGCGCTCTCAAATTACGGCAGCAGCTAAAGAGCAAAAACGAAGAGCTGAACCTGATCACCTACCACGCGCTGCTGAAGGTCTGTGCCCTGTGCTCAGATCTCAGGATGTGCTTCGACGTACTGAAGGTAAAGACGTGACTTTTCTCGTATTAAGTGTAGTCCGCTCTGGTTAAAGCTCCCGGAAGTTGCCGTATTGCACAGACTTTTTTTATTTCATTTCCAGCAGAGGGGATTACAGATCACGTGTTTCTGTTTCATTGATCCTTGGTTTCATACAATGAAATCGTCTTGGTACATACCAAACATTTAAGTTTAAGTACGTAAAAAGAGGCAGCTACAGCCTGAAACAGAGGGTGGCTTTTTAACTCTGTTGTGTTTTGTTTTGTGGGGTTCACGGCGGCTGTCTTGTCTCCATCCCTCGTTTTGAAGACCCCAGTTTAAAAGGAACTGCTATCTAGTTCCTTTTAAAGCTCTTACAGCAGCTCTTCTCAGAAGGGCCGGTCTGGGAGTAGCTAAAAGGATTGCTGTTCCTGCCCTCCAGTTCCCCGTAGCTCCCATCGGGGAGAAGCTAGGATCTGTGCAGGCGTTTCAGGGCTCTTTCTCTCTCGGAGCGATCGTTCTGCTGGCAGCACTGGGAGTTCACCCTATGCTCTGTTGCCCGGAAGACGACAAGCTGTATTTGAGCTTCGCCGCCAGCTGTGACAGACTGTTTGGGTAAGTGGGAAGTTTAACGCTCTCTCTGCTCTTTCAGGAAATGGTGCACAAGGGCCATGTCCTCACAGCCGAGACCTTCAGCTTCCTTCTCATGAGCTGCATAAAGGACAGCGAAAATGGCTTCCGATACGCCTTACAGGTTTGTCTTCATATACTACGTGGGGAGGAAAAAGCGCTTCTGTATTGTAACTCGTCACTTGAATGCACGGAAGGCAGCAAGTTGCTCAGAGCTGATGAAATAGGAGGAGTTCAGCTCCTCCTAGGAGAAGTTCTGTAAACTTAGACCTCCATCAGGAGGTCTCATACATGGGTAAACCACCCTGGATGATCTCGCAGGGCTGTACTAGCTCGGGGTGGCTGTTCACGGTCCGGTGGCATCTCACCTCGTCGTGCTGTAAGCTCTCTCCTTTTCTGCAAGCAGATACCGTAACAGTGGGCACGGTAGATACGCTTACAGTCTGCTAGAAATGCTCCTGTTATTTAATATCACGTACATCTGGTGTTCATCTTCCCCTTTTCAGGTTTGGAAAGAAATGACTAAACTCGGAATAAAGGCCGATAGCCACACTTACAATTTGATGCTGCGTGCTGCGAGAGACTGTGGAATAGGCGATCCGGTCGTGGCTTCTGAACTCCTGCTCAGGCCCGCCCGTGACAACTCATCTCAGCTAAGGCTTGCACCCGGCAGGCAGAAGGAGAAGGTGAAAAATCAGAAGAAGAAGGGATCAGAGAGTGCAGCTGCTGTCCAGCTGGATGTGGAAGCTATGGAAAAGCAGTTATTTTGGGAGAGTTCGGTGCGGCCTGAAGAACCCATCCGGCAACAAAATAAAGATGCGAATTGCGCTGAAACAGAACCAGCTGCTCTCGACAGCCCCAGCGTAGCTCACGGCAGGACTGGAGCGTTGATGAGGAGAGGCCAGAACAAGACGGAGCAGGAACAAGCACGCCTAAGCCAGAAGCTGCGTTTCTGCAACCTGCCCAACTTGCTGGACTCCAGGATGGCTGACGCAGCCGTGGTTTCCTTGGGGACAGCGGCCACACCGTCCGATAGATTGGCTTTGATGGGGGACGCGGAGGGCTTCTTGAACAAAATGAAAGACGACAATGCAGAACCCAACATTAAAACATTTACGTTACTGGCTGAGCTGGTGGGACCCCAAAGCCCCTCGGAGTCCTCTTTGCTGGCACTCCTAGATGAGCATAAAGTGAAAGTAGATGTGACCTTCTTTAACACTTTAATAAGGAAGAAAAGTAAACAGGGAGACCTAGAAGGAGCAAAGGTGAGGAAAAACTCAGACCCGGCCCTGTCACCATCTCCTCGTCTCAGGCCGGCAGCGTTACCCGCGTTTCGCTGTGAGACCCGTTTCTCTATCCGCGATAGAAACCGGGAATCTCGCACCGTTTTCCACAAACCAGTGCTCAGGTTAATTTCTGTGTGGTTACGGGTTCTGTTCGAGCACCTTTCAGCTCCCTGTCGGGAAAGCAACAGTGAGACTTTTTCGAAACTGATGTCAACACTTGTATCTTGCAGAGCGTGCTGCCAGCTCTAGTGAAGAGGGGACTATCGCCCAACCTCCAGACGTTTTGTAACTTGGCAATCGCTTGCCACCGAGAGAAGGACGGACTGCAGTTGCTCTCGGATTTGAAGGTAATAAACTCTGCTGCTTGGGGTTCGAGCTGCGGGAAGAGGTAAACTGAGGCGTCAGTGCTTCTAAAAAGACCTGCTGAGGTTTCTGTGGCGAGTGGTTGTGTTCTCACTCCAAAAACACGCAACTCTGGAGTCGGTGCCAGCTCAGGTGGTCTGTCCTGTACCTGCGCTGGGATAGGAGAGGGCTCACGGGAAGGGGTGTGCTGGCACTGCAGAAGCTGCTACCCGGCTTCCAGAGCGAGAGCCTTGCTCCTTGTGCAAGAAGTGCCTGTACGCCTCTTCCTTCTACAGGCCCTGCGCTAGTCAGCAGATAAATGAGTTTACCTGTAGCGTTTGTTGTTTCCAGAGGTCTGGAGTGACTCCCAACAAATACATCTACAGCACCCTCATCGCTGCCGCTGTGAGGCAGCTGGATTACAGTTACCTCACAGAGATCCTGCGAGACATGAGGAATAACCAAGTGCCTCCCAATGAAGTTATCATACGCCAGCTGGAGTTTGCGGCACAGTACCCTCCGAAATTCGACAAGGTAAGTAGCCACGACT